AGAAACGGCTCCAGGATTGGAACCGGAGCCGGAACCGGGCAGAAAACGGCGACGGAGACGGTAAAAGACGGCGTCGGAATCGGCCACAAAAACGGCAAAACGGGACCGGTAACAAAAACGGCCCTGTCGTTTCCAGGGCCCACTTAAACCCGTGCTTGCCGGCCTTTTCCAGCCGGGGCCCCCGCAGGCCGCGCCAGGGGGTGAAGGCCGCCCCACCACCCCTGCTCTTTGCGAGCGGCGCCTCCCCGCCCTGCGGAGGAGATGCCTGCGGGGGCGCTCGCAGCCTCCTCGGGGCCCGGATGGCCCTGCTGCCCGAGGTGCTGCGGCCTCCTCCCTCTCTCTCCCTCTCTCCCTCCCTCTCTCTCCCTGCCTCCGCCTCCATGTCTCTCCTGCCCTCTGCGAAAGTCTGTCTCTCCCTCTCCCTCTCTCTCTCTCTCTCTCCCTCTCTCTCTCTCTCCTTCCCCAGGCCCCCGACGTCACGATTTTGTCAGGACGCGACCTCCATGGAGGTCCAGACCCATTCCCCCGGGGCCCGTGCGTCGTCCCGAGTCGCTCTGTGGACGGCCCCGAGGCCCGGCGAGGGCCCCCAGAGTCATGGCAACAGAGAAACGCCTCCCGTCGTGATGTCCTCTTGGCTCGAGGGGGTCTGGGTCCCTCTCTAAAACGACTCGAAGATCGGGACAGAATCGGATCGGGATAACTCGAAATCTCTGAGAATCGGTGGGTTGGGAGAATGTACTGGGCGCCGCGGCCGCTCCAGAGCGTTCCGGCACGCTCTGAGAGCGCTCCGGAACGCTCTGGAGCGATTTATCCCTATCCTAGCCCTGTTTTACTCTCTCTCTCTCTCTCTCTTCCCCGCCTGCCCGACGCCGCCCCTGCCCGACGCCGCCCCTGCCCGGCGCCGCCGCGCGAGGCGCGAGGCGAGGGCCGGCGGCGAGCCGCCTGCGGCCGCCCCCCCCGCAGGCCCCCCCCCCCGCGCGCCGCCGCCCGCGCTCCGGGGCCTCCCCCTCGGCTGCGTCGCGGTCTTGGCATCGCTCGGGCGTGTGCGTTTTTTCCTCGGCGAGGACCATCGAGGAGCATTCTTGATCACTTGGCGAAACAACCACGCACGAATCCAGAAAAAGCACAGGGAATGGACGTCCGAGCGATGGCCAGCGGTCGGCTGCATTCGGTCCGCTCGAAGGATCCGAGGCCTCCCTTGGCTGGAGTCCGAGCAGATTCAGGAGGGAAAAAGACACACAGACAATTCATCGTCGATTCCCTAGAAAATGGGAAAATATGGGACGTGGGGGGAAGACAGAAACCCAGAAAGCATAGGAAAATATGGGGAATCTTTTGATGTGTGTGTATTCATTTGTGTGTCCCAGGGCCCCTTCACAGATGGGGTCGGAGGGCCGCGCCGATGTGCAGCCCGATCTTCTCCCTGGCGGCGTCGCCGCTGCACCGGCGACGTCGCCGATGCATCGCCGATGTGTCGGCGATGCGGCGCGATCCTCCGGCCACATCTGTTTCGACCCCATCTACGGTAGGTTTGCGTCGTGTCGACCAGCGGCGACCCCAGCGCGGACGTTCAAGGTTGAACGCCGCCGGCGACCCAGAATCGATCGATGTTGAACGATCGGACGTTGCGGCAGCGGCCGATCGTTCAAGGTTGAACGATCCCTGCGGTGTCAAAAACCAACGCTGGGGTCGGCACGACACGAACCTGCCGTACCCTGACCTTCCAGGAGGGCGAAGAAATAGCGCCAGGACATCGACGCTCCAATTCCTGTCGAGGTTCGAGGCAGTCCAGACAGACATACAGGTCTGGAGTCTGGAGTCTTATTTTTTAGCACTCTGGAGGGTCAGGGCAGGAGGCCTCTCAAGGAGGGCGAGGCGCGGGGAGCCACCGGGAAGCCCTCCTCCTCCTTCGCCTCCTCCGCCTCCTCCGCCTCCTCGTCCTCCTCCTCCTCCTCCTCCTCCTCCTCCTCCTCCTCCTCCTCCTCCTCCTCCTCCTCCGACGACGACGACGACGACGACGACGACGACGACGACGACGACTCCCCCGACTCTGGCTCCGCCTCTGTCTCCGAGGCGGGGAGTTGTGCATAACCACCGCCTGGGGGATTGATCTTCGCGGACCCCCACAGGCGGTGGACACTCAGGCGATCGCAAGCATCCCCTCCTCCTCCTCCCTCCCCCCTCCTCTCCTACTCCCTCCTCCTCCTCCTCCTCCTCCTCCTCCTCCTCCTCCTCCTCCTCCTCCTCCTCCTCCTTCCTCTTGGGGTCCTGTTTGGCCCGGGACCGTCCAGAATCAGGCGATCGCGGGTCCCGTTTCCATTGGAGCTCGCGGATTTCCGCCGCCGAGCGAGGCGGTACCGGCCGCACTTTGGGGAGGGCGCCTCCCCCGATCCATGGATTTGGCGACCGCGCGCCAAATCCATGGATCGCTAATCCATATTTGCGCGCCTCCGAGATATGGATGTGTTCAGCCACCGGGGGGCTAACATATATTCATATCCACCGCATGGTGGGGCACCAGAACGTCGGCTCCCAGGTCCAGACCCCCGACGTCATGATTTTTTTATGACGCGGCACCCGCTTCCCGGGACCGATTTCTCATCTTGAGTCGTTTTTGACGGTCCCGAGGCCCGGTGAGGGCACCCAGATGCCGAACATTGAGAAAAACATCCAGTCGTGATTGTTTCATGATTCGAGGGGATCTGGCTCCACCGCCTGTTGGGGCACCAGAAGGTCGGTTCCCAGACGGCGGATGTACACGAGTCCCCGCCTCGCACTGCTGTGCCGTGCCGAGGCCATCTTGACCCGGCGGCCCGCCCGAGCCGCCCGGGAAGTCCTCGTGGGCATCCCATAAGCTCTGCGGGGCATCAGGAAAACGTCGAGGCGCCCGGGTATCCTCGGGTGGGCGGGGGGGGAACGCAGCGAAGTTTGACCAGGAGGGGCGGTCCTTCAGAGGACTGGAGACAAGGGTACCGGCCAGACGTGGGAGGGACCTTTCGCCAGGGTGGCCTTCGGTGCGGGCCCAGTTGGGTCCCCCGATCGCGGCACGCGACGCGGTAGTAGTAGTAGTAGTAGTGGCTTGCGCGCTCAGGTTTGTCCACCCCGCGTCCCCGGGTATCCCGCGCACCAGAGGCCACTCTTGCCTAGGGTCACTCCTGCTTCTAGCCGAGGGTGGTTTTCCTTTCGGGGAGGGGGCCCTCGTCGCCACGGCTGGACGCCGCTCGGAGAGTTTGTGAGTTTGGACTCCAGGAGAGTCAAGGGGCCCCAGGACACACAAAGAAGTACACACAAACAATAGGATTCCCCGTATGTGTCCATTCTTTCTGGGTTTTTGTGTCTTCCCGCCCGATTCCCATCTTTCCCCAGATGTTCCTGGATTGTGTCTGCGTGTTTTTGTTCCCTCCTGAGAGAGGTCGGAGAAGCGGAATGGAGGAGTGGTCCACCTCCTCCTCCTCCTCCCCCTCCCCCCCTTGCCTTCTCCTCCTCCTCCTCCTCCTCCTCCTCCTCCTCCTCCTCCTCCATTCTCTCTCCGGTCCTCCTCGTCCTCCTCGTCGTCGTCCTCCTTCTCCTCCTCCTCCTCCTCCTCCTCCCATAGAAGCGGGGCAAGGATGGGGGGTGAGGGTTGAGGGGTGGGGGGCGAGGAGGAGGCACAGGTGTTGAGCTGCCGCCGCCTCCACCTGGGCGTCTCTCGGCCTCCCCATCGGTGGTTTCGCGGTCGGCTGCCTTCGGTGCGGCCCGACGACAGAGGGCGAGGCGTGGGCCTTCGTCGTCGTCGTCGTCGTCGTCGTCGTCGTCGTCGTCGTCGTCTGTTCCTGGCGCAAAGTGGGGAGGAGGTCGAAGCCCTGCATCTCTCCTCGTCCTGGCGCCGTTGGGCGTGGGTGTGGGTGTGTGGGTGTGGGTGCCTCTGTGCGAGGGGGGGAGGCGGGTTCCCGTTTGCCAGGTGCTTGGGATGTTGGGAAGGGGGGGCCCACCCTGCTGTCGACGTGTCGGGGAATGTTTCTCCCCGAAGGGAACGTGAAACGAGTGTTCTCCCACGTATCCAATACCTTCAACTGTCCTCCTCCTCCTCCTCCTCCTCCTCCTCCTCCTCCTCCTCACTCTGTTCCTTCTCCTTCTGTTTACCCTCCCTCCCGCCCCCCTGTCCACCACCTTTTTCGTTTACGCGCGCCGATTGCCCCCCGCCGTCCCAGCAGTCTGCCCAGGCAAGCAAGAGCCCCCGGCGCGGCCAAGTCCACAGGGACCAGCGCACAGCGGACTGAGCGGCAGCATGTGGTGACTGGGGGCTCCGTGCTTGAGCGCTCCGGTGCCAGCCACGGGAACATGGGGAGGGCTCGGAACCTCAAGGGTAGAGTTTGGGGCAGAGCGGAGCACGGTCGGGCCGAGGTGGCAGCTCGAGGTCGGTTCGGGGAGGGCCCCCAGAGGTGTGTGTCGTTGTCGTGTTTGTTTCAGGAGGGAAAAAACACACAGACACAATGAATCGTCGATCCCCCAGAAGATATGGGGAGTCTCTTTATTTGTGTGTATTTGTTTGTGTGTCCTGGGGCCCCTTCGTTGTTGGATGTTTTTGGGGCCTGCTTGTTTTCCAATCTGGGCGATGACGGCCGTGATGGGATCGGCCCTCTCCTCCTCCTCCTCCTCCTCCTCCTCCTCCTCCTCCTCCTCCTCCTGCTCCTGCTCCTCCTCCTCCTCCTCCTCCTCCTCCTCCTCCTCCTCCTCCTCCTCTCCCTTCTCCTCTCCTTCCCCTCCTCCACTCTCCTCCTCTCCTTCCTCCTCCTCCTCCCTCCCCTCCTCCTCCTCCCCTCTCTCCTCCTCCTCCTCCTCTTCTCATCCTCCTCCTCCTCCTCTTCCTCCTCCTCCTCCTCCTCCTCCTCTCCTCCTCCCCCCTCCACCTCTCTCCTCCTCCTCCTCCTCCTCGCCTCCTCCTCCTCCTCCTCCTCCTTCCTCCTCCTCCTCTCCTCCTCCTCCTCTCCTCCTCCTCCCCTCACCCCCCCCAGATCACGTCACGCTATGAGCCCAAAGATCTCCCACGGATCCTGCGAGGATCTCTCAGATTTCCAGCGGCCCCCGCCGTGGTGCGATCGGGGGGTGGGGGGGGGGGACGGATTCCCCCCCCCCCTCTCCCGATCACGCCCGTGATCGGGAAACCTTCTCCTCCCCTTTCTCCTCCTCCTCCTCCTCCCTCCTCCTCCCTCTCTCTATCCTCTCTCCTTCCTCTCTCCTCCTCCTCCTTCTCCTACAGGCTCTTGGGCACCCTGGGGGGATGGCACCCTTGGATGTTCTGTGTGCCTCGACAGGCGGAGGGCCTCGCGCTCCGGAAGGATGCCGTCCGTCCTCCTGCCCCGGGTTCGGCCGCAGGAGGACCATGGAGGGGCTCCTCGTCTTTTTGGGAACCCCCAAACCGGGTGGTGAGATACCAGGTGGTGACCTGGAATCCCCAAAAAGGTCACCGCTGGGTTTGGGGACGCGGGGTCACCGCCGGGTTTTGTGACTCCTGGACTAGTGTCCGGGACATCCTCGGAAAACCGCACGAGTCCCCAAACCGGGTGGTGACACCAAATCGCCCGAGACTCACAAGCCAGGTGTTGTCACCACCACGTTTGGGGACTACCAAGTCTTTCCTCCCTCTCACCGCTCCCGGGGAGGGCAAGCTGCGGCTGCGGCGGCTCTCCTCCGCCCAGCCCGAGTGTCACCAGCCTCGAACTTATCCCTATCCCCAAGATTGACACGCTAAAAGGAGACGACAATCTTAGGGACACACCTTCAGAAACTGAGGAAGTCCCTAAGATCGCCATCGTGATGAGGCGATGCCCAACATAGGGATAGGGATATGTTCCAGGCTGGTAAGAGTGTGTTCGGAATCGGTCCTTCAGACCCCTCCCACGGGCCCCTCCCGGGGGTCCATCCCGGCCCGCTCATTTCGAGGCAGCTCCAGCCGTGGCGACGAGAAGCCTCCGGGGTTCCCCCAGAGAGGACCAGGCAGGCCTGGGATGGGCCGTCGTTGTCTCGACTGCTCCATCCAGGAGATGATTAGTTTTCGGGTGTCACCTGAGGGGTCTCAAAGTGCCCTCGGCGCCGAGCACATCCGCGAGGCTCACGTTTTCTCAAAGTGCTACGAAGCCCGCGGCGCCGAACGCAGTGGCGCGTCTCCAAGAGCTCCAAATCGCCCCGGAACCCTCGGCGCCGAGTACATCTGCGAGCCTCGCATGGTCTCACAGTGCCACAAACCCTCAGCGCCGAGCGCAACCGCTCGTCTTCAAGGCTTTCAAATCGTTCCAGAACCCTCGGCGCCGAGCCCTTCCGCAAGTCTCATATGGTCTAGCATTGCCACGAAACCCTTGGCGTCGAACACATTTGCGCGTTTCAAAGGGGGTCACGATGGCCCGAAACTCCTGGCGCCGATGGCTGTGGTTGGGGAGAGGCTGTGGCTGGCCATGCGACTTTCCTGTGCAGACTCGTATCGGCAAAAAACAATAGTATAGCATTCAAGAACTTCTTGCGGATCGGCGGAATGGCGCGAACCATCTGAATATCGAAACAAGTAGTTACCACCGAAAGGGGAGAGCACCATTCTGACGTGAGCGCGCAAGCATGCGAGGGCGCCCGCACGAGACGCCACCAACCAATCACGCGGGAGTTGGATTGCAGAGTGCATACTCCGCCGCGTGTGCATGTGTGTCTGCGTGCGTGCGTAGTGGTGTGTGGTGCGCGTGCGTGTTTGGTTGGTGGTACGTGTGTGCGCGTACATAAGGCGACGCGCTGCAATGCGACCACGTTCGATGCAACGCAGGGCCATGCAAAGCAACGGGACCGAAACGTCCGCACGCAGTGGACTAAATGTGGACATCGCGCTTTCGCGCAATGCATTCAGTACCACTGCAACTTCAAATGCGACGCTTCGAAGAACGTGGCCCCCAGGCGAGCGCGAAATCCATTTCCATGAAATTTCTTCCCGGACTGTATCGTGAAGGCCTCACGGTCGGTGCCGCCGACCCAGAATGACGACGACGACGGCGACGACCATAACCACGACCACCACCACCACCACCACCACCACCACCACGACCACGACCACGACGACCACGACCACGACGATGACGACGACGACGACGACGACGACGACGACGACGACGACGACGACGACGAAGACGACAGAGACGACAACGACAACGACGAGCTCATGACCCCACCACAGGCTCGGGACATGGGGGCGGCTGTGGAGGGAGGAGGACGAAGAGGAGGAACAGGATGAGGAAGAAGAGGAGGGGGAGGCGGAGGAGAACGAGGCGAGGAGGAGGAGGAGGACTAAATGGGCTAAATGCAAAGCGACAGGGGAGTCGCGCAGGAGAGCCCCTGGGGCCGCAGGAGGAACACGAGCCTCCGCAACCCCAGGGCCGTCGGCGCCGCAGGAGGAACACGAGCCTCCGCGGCGCGAAGCTGCCGCTGCAGGAGGAGCACGAGCCTCCGCAGCGGGGGGGGGCGCAGGAGGAACACGAGCCTCCGCGCCCCGAAGCCAAGCGAGCCGCAGGAGGAACACGAGCCTCCGCAGCCCTCATGACTTGGCCATTTTCTCGGGCAGCTCCCCGAGCATCAAAACTTGGCCAACTTCACGGGCCAGCCTCGCCGTTGTCGAACAGCTGCGACGCCTCGAAGCCCGCGCCGAGGACCTCCCCGCAGGCGGCCTCGTGCGCGGATCGGGCCTCCGCCAGCTGGGGCTCCAGCATCTTCACGGCGCACGCGGTGCCCAGGACCATCTGCTTGGCAGCGCTGACGGTCAGCGGCAGCCGCTTCTCCCTGGAGTCCTTCACGACGAGCTTCTCGGAGTCGCGCTTGGTCTCCCCCATGAACAGCCGAGCGCTCTCCAGGGCCAGCTCGTCAATGGCCGACCCCACCGCCTTGACCTCCAGGGTGGCCTGGCATCCAGGGGCGCACTTGAAGTCCTTCTTCATCAGCTCCCCCATCGGCTGAGCGCAAGGGTGCACTGAGACCTTCTCCTGCAGCTCCTCCTTCTCGTCCTCCAGGTCGTCCGTGGTGGGAGCCGACGCTGCATCGCCAGCCCCACGACGGCGGCCACGCGCCCGGCGCCGGGCCTCGCCCGCCGTGGTGGGCACCGCCTGCGGCCCTGCGCCGAAATCGGCGTGCTGGGCCCAGCCGCGGAAGGCGCGACTGGCCCCAGAGGGCCGAGCCACGACGCCTTCGCGGCCCGCCCGCACCATCTCGGTCAGGTGGGGCCTTCCAAGCTGCTCCCTTGCCGCCACCTCCTCGTCCACCTCGGAAGCCAGGCGCGGGGCGAGGAGAGAAGCGCCCACGCGAAGGGCCGAAGCGACAGCGGCGGCCACCACCTGCCGCCCGCCGCCGCCTTCAGCAGCCCCTGCAGCTGCCGCCTTGACCAGCGGCGCAAGCAACGCCACCTGCTCCCCGACGAGGGGAAGGACCGCCGCCATCGCCCGAGCCGCGGCAGGGGGCAGCAACAGCCCGCCTGGCGCCCAAGCAGGCTTGAGCCAACATGGCTACGGAGGAGGAGGAGGAGGAGGAGGAGGATCGGGGGGGGGAGGGGAGGGGGGGGGAGGGGGGGGGGAGGGGGAAGGGGGAGGGGGAGGAGGCAAGCTAGGTGCGCTCGCGTCAACATCTGACATCCTACCCCTCCCTCCCATCTCTTCCCATTGAGCTACTTCATTGTCCTCTCACCGAATCGGGCTTCGCATCTGACCCTGTTACCTAAGAGGGAAAGGAGGAGGACGACGGCGCGATGAAAACGAAGACGACGACGACGAAGACGACGACGACGACAACCACGACGACGACGACGACGGCGGCGACGACGACGACGACGACGATGAGGACGACCGGCGACGAAGACGGGACGCCGCCCAAAAGGGGGGGGGCTTTCTGCGGCCCCAAAAATCAACGAATCGACACCGGATGTGTAATCACCTCCAATGTTTTTGCCGGGGATCATTTTCTAGATTTGGGGCTTCTTAAAAAGGATCGAAAACGTCGGCGCTGCAGCGGGAGCACGTTTTGGAACAACGAGAGGCGCAGAAATTGGGCCAGCGCTGCAGCGGGAGCACGATTCGGAACGAGCGGGAGCGCGGAAATGAGGCCAGCGCTGCAGCGGGAACACGATTCGGAAGGAGCGGGAGCCCGAAAATTAGGCCAGCGCCTCAGCGAGAGCAGCATTTTAGAAAAAAACACAAGCGAAAACCCAACTCCGGGGAATCCTGTGTGTAAAAAAACAGTACGCGGGGGGGTGCCGAACATCTTCCGGACGCCATCAGGGGAAGTGGGAGAGTAGTATTCATATTGTGTAATTGTAGAAGGAGGAGGAAGAGGAGGAG